ATTTCTGTCGTTTTAGATTTCTATTTAGAGCTACTTTGATGGAGTTGTGTTGAGATAAAATGTGTGAGATTTTCTGCGTTCGTGGCCCGTGCGCTACGGGCGAACAGACTTTTGGCGTGGCACTGTATGATGGAGAACGATGGGATCGGCATGGGTTGTCCGTGCAAGGTTTGCAGCGGCAGCGCAGGCGTCCTTCCCGGAGCTACACCAAATAGCTCGCGGACGCGAACACCGAGTGTGACCTCGCAGAAGTCTAATTCGTCCGCACCGATTTCGAGTCGCCCTTCCAGCTCTCGCAGTGTTCAACCTAGCGCGCTTCCTAGCCTAGCAGCACAACACAAAGGACGCCCGAAGAAGATTACGCCAGGCCTAGATAAGAGCAACGTTGATGGTGAGGGAACTCCGGACGTTTATCGGAATCTCATTGACAAGCTCCGCCGACACCAGCACGTGGATGAGTCTATTGAAGAACCGTTAAGTCCAGACTGGAGAGCAGAGCAAGAATTGCTTCCTAGATTACTTGATGATATCAAGACGAACGAGCAGTGGGTACCACGCACCGGTGACATTGTCTTGTATATTCGCTACATGCCCGGCGGTGTTGATCTAGTTCGAGACGAAACCGACACGAAAGAGTTCCGACTGTACGATGAGCGTCGTGAGAAGAACCTGGGTGCTCCGCAGTGGGTGGCCGGTCTTGTCACTGAGGCCGCCACTGGTACTACGATCGCCGACCTTGTCGATTCTGATCAGCAACAGAGTGTGTCGAACACAGGCGTGCGGGTTGAGCCAATTCCAGACCCAAATAACGTGAACAAATCTCTTTCTAAACAGTAAGCAGTGTCCCTGTACAAAATGTATGTGAGACAAACACTGACTTCGCAAACTCAACTTCAGGCACAAGTATGTACCGCTACGACAAATACGCCCGTTCGTCCTTTGGGGTGATCTGTTGCGCCGCATCCCTCAAGAGAATTGGCACGTTAGCATTAAGAATGCCTTAGCCCTGTCATCAACGCTCTCTCTTGTGGGTAAGCACCGCTTCCGTGGGAGTTGGCCAAACACAAGCATCTATTGCCATGGCATTTACATCGGCGCTGAAATGCTTGGTGTTGGTGATACCGTCCGCCTGTTACCTAACAAGCGCCAGTCTAAGTGTACCGATGTCTTGAGCATCAAGTCTATCCGACTGAAATGGACCAATCTCGACAAAGCGTCCACCAACGACTACGATGAAGGAAGACCATACAACTCAGAAGTTTGGATATATGGATCTGCCTATACGAGCGACAGCTCACGCGGCAACAAGCTTTGGATCACCGAGCAAAACGTTCAAGGTAAGTTTTGACTATACGAAATGCACAAGCTATGCGCTAACTTCGTGTTTTTACTTTCGCAGCTCCGCGTGTAGCACTTGATTATGCGGAATGGTTTCCACTACACCCAGCAGACAAGGAACTCGCGATCCCTTACTCCCGCGTCCTCGGCCGCTTGTACGAGCGGGATCCCATGGCATACTTCCTCAAGTCCGATTATGGCGATTTTCCGACGCTTGATGTTGGCCGACAAGCTGTAGTAGAAGCCCGGGCTTTTTCACGAAAGCACGACCACCGCATAGCGAAAGATCCTGGTGCTACATGGTACTGGGGAGATAACCGCGCTGACGCGCTGAACCTGAAGTTTGTCAACGGCCGTGAGGTCTCAAGATTCGACCCAGATCGCGACGTCAAAGAACTCCGTAGACAGCACCGGGTCCTTGATGGCGTGGCGAATGGTGAAGCAAAGCCTGCACTGGTCAACGAGAAAGGACTCCGTAGATTCATGGCACCAACGTTGCCTTTGAGATCTAGCGCACCAGTAGTACTAGACGACTGTGGGAGCAGCCCTTCTACAGCTAGCGACAGCGGTCCCTCCAGGAAACGCACGCACGTTATCGATTTAGAGGACGATCAAGAAGACGAAGACGAAGGCGATGACGAAGGCGACATTGATGACGAGATCCGAGAACACACTAGGGTCGTCAACGAAGATCGCGAGCGGCCTGGCAAGAAGCCCAAGGTCATGGTGGTGGTCGGCTAGGAGTCGGACGCATGTGTATCCAACCCCATGGGTCATGAGACCTTGATAGGGCTTAGAGAGAGATATGATTATATGGGAAAGGTGGCGTGATATGACAGGCCGGAGGAGATGAGTAATGGGAATGGCTGACAGAATGGCTGACAGAATGGCTGTATGAGGGTGGATTATTGTTGATATACCCTCATTACTGCGATATGACTGTACGACGGCATGAATCCATGTATTATAGTTATGAATGTTGATGCATGATAGCTGCGACAATGCCGTTGCTATGGTGTTCATTACGTCAGGGTGAATTAGTCCTTTGCGGTCAGCCGTTCATTCCAGCACAGTAACAGCGGGAATATGACAAGTCACTGGGGTGTGTAGGTGTGCATGTCATCGGATGAGCACACGATCGGTAAGGTGGGGCAGTCTTTCACACGTGCGTTCTGGAGTACGATCGGTTGCATCATGCAGTTTTGCCAATTTATGCGGCTTTGTCTAAACTCGAAGATTTCATTCCCATCTTACACGTCGCGCGATCATACTGTTGCGGCTCCTGGCATCTAGTGGTAATCTCAAATACTGCGAATCGATGTAGCTTCATCTTGTGCCTGCGGTGTGTGTGGTGCGGTTGTCGGATTAGGATTCTCCGAGGAACTTGTTGGTCCTTGGAGACCGCCCTGCCTTAATAATTCTGGATCCACGACTCTTCCGTGCCCTCTGCTGTGAGGACGTTTCAATCGGGCTTTACGACCCACAGGCAAGGTCGCCGCACTCGCACAGCGAATCGGTGTGGCACCATCTTGTACCTGTGGTGAGTGTTGTGTAGTTTCTGGGTCAGATGGTTCCGAGGAAGTTGTAATCTATTCCGTGGAACTTGTAGTTGATCCCGGAAGCTCGTCCTGCCCTGGTGATTGTTGGCTGAACATCGTAGCGAAGTTCCTGTGGTCACGACGTCTCGAGCGGGCTCTAAGATAGAACGGAAGCCAGGACGCAGTACTCATACTGCGAATCGACATGGCTTCATCTTCGTCTTGTAGCTGCGATGTGTGTAGTGAAGTTCGCGGGTCGAAACTTTCCGGATCCGAGACCTTTGCGCGCGTCTTTCCACTTGAGTCTTTCGCCCAGACTATGAGGGTTATGAGCCAGATCACGGCACCAACATGCCTCGTGATGAAGCCTTTCAGCCAAGCAATTGCCTCTTCCTTCCGAGAGCGTTCTTGGTCGCGATTTATGTACTTGAATGCTAGCCATACTGCGATGCCTGTCAAAACTAGCGTCATAATCTCAGTGCTCACTATCGAGGGTTAGTAAATGTCCCTTCCAATATTTATACATATTTCGATCAGGCATCCTTGTCCGCCACACTCATGCAGACGATCAAGGTTTACTTACTGAATATGCCGCCAATCTTGCCGCTATGGAAAACGCCATCTCTACCGGAGATTTGAAGTCTCTCGAATCCGTCAATCTTGAGAGCGAAGAGTGCTGTGAGAAATGCGAGTGGCGTGAAGACGATCGTAATGACAGTAAAGCCGATAACAGCAGTACTCAGGATGAGACTGCTGTGCGCATCACTGATACTAGCGTGTGTGCGCTTCAAGTTGAGCATATCCTGTATGCTCTTCTCAATTCTGTCTGCATCGCCATCGATCTTCTTTACTCTTCTCATGTACTGTTGGATGGTTTCTTGGGAAGCTTCGATTGGTGCCCAATCTAGTGATTGCTGTTTTTCGCTTGTTGTAGGTACGCAATCTTTGAGAAACTGCTTCAAGACGCGCTCCTGTTGCTCGAGAACGTGCTGTATCATAGCAAGCTCGCTACGCACATCGGATATGACGTGTATGAAGTATCGCTCCCGGCGGTATTCAAGTCCATTGGAACTCGACTTTCCCCCAGAAGGCTGTTCGATGTACTTTCTTACTTCTGACAGAAGCTGAACCACTCTTGTTTCAAAAAGATCCAGTGGAGGCGGATAACTGGTGCCATCATCATTATCCCAGTAGCTCTTACCAAACCTATCGATGAAGCTAGTGATGATCAAGCCGATGTGGATATCCGCGAGTACCGCTTTCAGGTTTCTGTCACGGTACCGAAGCTCACGCCGTTCCCCATTGAATGCGTACTGAGTTCCCTGAGGCATACTGTATGCAGATATGACGACATTACCCAACTTGTAGAGCCAGAGCTGCGGCACCATGAGAATGAACGCTTTTCCATCCGTTCTTTTGGAGCCACTCTCTCGCTTATCAAAGGAGTCAAAGTCGTCTTTACTGTGCGAGACCACTTGGTCATCATTGCGTGTTTTCAGAGCTTCATGAGAGAGACCAGGATAGTAAGCCTCGTCTAAGGTGCGTTCCAAGTAATCGAAAGAGAGGAGATTCTCACTGGACTTCAGATCTCTCTTGAGCTTCTTGTGCTTTTGTCTTTTCATTTTCTGTTGTCCGATTGTCGTAAGCACTAGATATGGGAACTTGAAATGTAAGCTTCAAGCCGTGAAAGATAATGTAGACTACTAACTACAATCGCTGAACACTTCACCTCACATGGCTCGCGGTGACTAAATAGGTTTTCCTAGATGGATTGTAAGTTGCGCTGTTACGCTGATCGTATGCAAGTTGCGGAGATGGCTGTCATTGTCATACCTCCTTAGGCATTTGCAAGCTTCTTGGTTGATATGTCGGCTCCAAATAAGTCAGATGAGAATCATCAGAGCTACATCTCATGGCTTCGAAGATTTCGCCTAAAGTCTGAGCAGCTTTCCAAGTATATATTCGTACAGTGGCCTTTACGACGTTCGTTAGTTGATTGACATAAGACAAGAGCTTTCATACCATCATCAACACCATCTGTCAAGGTTAGTTTGATTGTTTTCTCCAAACAGATTTTGCTAACTCACGTTATTTCTCGGAACATGGATCTAGGTCAAGCTTGGTTTCTGGATATCGTCGGGGCTAAACGGGCCAACATCTTTTCGTAGACGACGAGCACGTCTCATGGGAAATGCCGAAGGATCGTCTTCTCTGGATGAATAGTAGTGGCTCATGGGAATCAGCTTCAGGAAGAGATGAGCTGCAATGGAGAAATGAATCTCCTCGCTGTTAACCATGTTGGTTCTCCCATGGATGGGATCCAGGGCATCGATACCATGATTCTGGGGATTTGCGCCGGAAACTAACAATAGTTCCACAGTATCCGCCAGCCCCCATTCAATAGCTCTCGAAAGCAGGTAGTCGCTTTTGCCTTGCTTTGCGGTATCCATCTTGGTTTTTAACCATCCACTGACATCTCGTGTACTCAAAAGGGTGTGAAGAATATACGCAAGTATCGCCGATTTTGCAGCGTCGATGGTATGATTCCAAACAACGCTATGCTCACTGATTTCAGATTGCGTCAGTGGGACAATCTCATGTGTATCCGAATGGGATAACGGCCATCGCTGTTCAGACTCCAACTGATCCCAGAATGGCGTCAACCCCTCAGCATTATCGATCCCGTCCATCAAGGGTATCACCCTCGAGAGCTCACAGAATTCCCAAGCATCCTTATACACTCTTCTTAAGCCATACCGTCTCTTTGCATGGTCGCGCTCTGTGGAAGTTGTGGTTGGATCAATTATGAGATGTCGCTTGATGTCCTTGAGCAATTTATCAAGTACTTCCACTCTCTTCAAGCTGTATCTTGTAAAAGATGGAGGGTTGTGAATAGCTCTCTTGAACGCTTTCACAATCTCTAAGAGCCTTTTTAGTACACAGTTCAGCACACAACGAGATAGGCGGTGGTCGCACCCTTTTCAAATTTGGCATTTTGTTCTTTTTTAGAAAAATATATACCGTCGCCGATAGCATGGCCCTCAATGGCTGCCATTGTCAATTTAGTGTAGGAGAGCCAGATGTCTGCGAGAATTTGGACGAAAGCTTTCACACTGGCAACAGACACTCTGCCTAGATACTTATTCCCTCCACCAATACCCCCTTCATCAGTGCATATCGATGGCCCGCGATTTCGCTAGCTTCATGCGAGATAGACGTGTCATCACCCAGCACTGTGCGCCACCATGCAGTTTCGTCCGAAAGTGATTCTCAGTCTCGCGCGATGGAGCGGGACCTCCCGGTCGGGACGCTGCCGGTACCTAGCGTTCCAGTTACTCCAGAACCTTCCTCGTAGAAGTGAACTGAGGTATTTCTCCCAGTGATGCTGTCTTAAAATGAGTGGACCGTAATGGATAGATAATCAAGGTCATCATCCAGTCGTTGTATCGCACAGCCTCGAAGGGAGACATATCGACAGTTTGCGATACTGCCTCAATGCTGATACGGCGAATCATGATTTTGGGAGAATACTGATCATCGTCGGCGCAGTCTAGGTGGTGGTAAAATGTGACTTTGAGCTGCGCTGTGAGGCCGATGAGTCGCTTCTCCCTGCAATCTGAAAGAAGTCGCAAAACTTTTGGGGCGTCTCGGGGTCCTTTTGCCCGATCATACCTAGACAGCCTCCACCACCATCAAAAGCAATATAGTATGTATGTGTGCCGATTTCGACTAGGAAGGCGCATGCGATCTCGGATCACAGCATGTATGATACCAGCAAACTTGGCATGGTCTCTTGTTGGACGCGTGTTTATGGATGTTTCCTGGCTCAAGAGGTGCGAGTCGCGGCGGGCCCCCCCCCTCCGCTTCCCGCCTCAACCTCCACAATCTGAGAGTTGACGAACCACAATCACTAACTTGCTTTCCTGTCTCTTTAGCGACAGAGCTTGGCTTGCTCAAAAATGGCATTGCTCTCACGAATTTCCATGACATTACCTAAATCATGGACTGATAACGTTTAGACCCATCCTACCCGAAATTCTTCAGAGGCCACGATATCCAAACAAAAGGTCGCCCAACTAGGCGCAAGTCACTGTCGAAGATTTGAAATTATGGTGCCTCCGGATTCATTGTTGTATGCTACGAGAAGCGAAGGAGTGTGGCGCCACCAAGTCCAAGTACTCCCCACGTGCATCACTAAAGCTGCACCTGTTGCTGTAACTCAAGAAGGTACGATCAGTGGAGAGAAAAAAGCTTTCATGGACAGCATAATTATCATTAATCTTTTTCTTTCTACTTTTATGCATAAGAATGTTGGTGAAGTATAGACCTCTGAGACGCCGAGTCTTCCAACCCTGGCGACGGAGATTCGCGAACGATAGTAGGAAGTTGTTCCTCCACGCGCAAAGCCAATCCATTCTTCCCTTGTTGTTCACCCCGTTCCTCGTCATCCAATGCATCCGCATGAGTTGGGGACTCCATCGCACGTAGCTCCACGACTCTACCATCTTCTTCGACATCCATAATTGCAGACAGGCGATATGGGTCCTTTGTCTCGCGGGATGAGGCTTTGCTTCGCTGTTGTGCTGTGATAAAGCCATTCTTCTTGTCCTCCAATGACTTGTAGCTTCGTTTGCTCGTGGAGTTGTAAGTGCTGGGGTTTGGAGCGTAGCTTGAAGAATCCTTCGTGGGCATCTTGAACCCGTTCTGGACGAAGCGTATCAAGTTCCTGATGGTGGGGACGGCAGCGCATATATGTGCGACTCCGCTGGATATGAATCCGGTGATGGATGTGCCTGCCACTGTGTAGGTTGGATCGGTAGTGTCGACAACACCTGGTAGGAACGGTAGGCGTATGATGGACATGACAATAACACTTTAAAAGAGTTAGATTACACGAATCGAACGTGTTGAAGACAAGGCTTACCAGATACCAAGGCTAAAGAAGACCAGTAGCTGAATCTTCTTTGTAGTCTGCATCTGCAGCTTCCATACGATCGGGATAGGAAGACTGAAGAGAATAGTCTCGGCGATGATTTCGTATACGACCGTCAGTCTCAAGACGGCGATATAGTCAATGCATTTCGCAGTTCCCTGCTCTTGGAGGTCCCATATAGCGTGGACTGGAATGCATTGGAAGGCAGCCAGAAAGATTAGGGGAACGGTGAATAGAGCCGTGAAGACCATGAAGGCGTAGATCGCCCGCTTCAGCCAGAGGTTCGGAAAGATGCGGATATATAGACAGAGGATGCTGTACTTTATAAGGAGCAATTCAACACCCCAGAACATGGTGGCAATATAGGCTGTGTATAGTCAGTACGCTGTTATCGAAGTTGGCAGATGAATACATACTCCATCTTCCAATTGACACGACGCGTTGATATGTCAGATCCCATATGTGATAGCCGAGTCCTGCTTTGAGGTTCAATAAGAGGGCAACAGTCATGGGGATGACCAGAATCTGCGAGACTGTAAGTAAGACAAACCTAGCCCCTCTATCGAACACTTACGACTGCTATGAGATGGAGCCAATCGTCCCACCAAAGCTTGTTACCACCGACATATCGGGAACCAAAGCGCATTACAATCACGATGATTGGTATGATGCCACTCACGTATGCCACGATTCGAATGGGGGTCGCCAGGTTATTATGCGGCCTGTTGCAAATAGAGGCTTGGGCGCGGAGCGTAGCTGCAAAGAAATTAGCGTTATTGTCTCTAATCACTGCGATAAACATACCGAAGGTCTCATCGTAAGTGCATCGCTTTTCCAAACACGGTTGCAGGATCTTGGTCGAGTTCTTAGAATTGCATTGGCACTCCAAGTCAACAAGCCCACAGCCGATGGCAGGCACGTTTTCCGTGATACATTGCAGCTGTGCGATAGTCAGCTACAAGAAACTTGCTCTCGTGTAGTGTATATCTTACGGCGCATAGCGGAATCTGGCTCAATCCATCCAGTGCCCCAGCGTCGGAGGAGGCAGCGCTCGTCGTGAAGCAGAGGACACTGACCAGCAGCACAAAAGCATACACTCGGCGGAGGGATAGAAGGAGCATTTTGACAAGGTGATTACAACGATGTGCACGGACAACGATGATTGCTTTTCATGCTCGCGAAGCTGTTATTATATTCCGAGGAACACAGGAGTTCTACTCAAAAGCTAATTGCGACGATCATGGGCAGACATGTTGGTATAAACACTTAAAGTGCAGGGTTCACTCTGGAAACCGTAGTGGTCAAGCGCACGGGCAAGGCCATACTAGCTCGCCGGACCTACTCATGTCATGAAACTTACTCAGTTGTCCTATGATATGTGCCGTTGGTGTCGACTTCTACATTTTGCCGGTGGTAGGTGGATTAGAGCATAATCACGAAACCTTTTCGACGCAGTTAGTGAGCTGTATTTACGACCAAGGAAGGGATAAACCTGTCATGGAAGCTGCCACTTTATACTTCGTAACGGCGCCCAATTTGGCCACTGGTGAAGTGGTATTGAGCAGTCTCCCAGTGTCTATTTCAACTGCTTTGGCAGAACGATAACTTTGTGATAAGCGATAGGAACAATCGAGCCACCCTGCGACGCCATGGCGCAATAGATCAAGCCACCCGTGGTGGGTATCGCGTAGATTACTATTTTGTGGATACCCAGGGACAGTCAGCTCTAAAGAGCGATGCATCTACCAGTACATTCGATGGTAGGATTCAACCCCCTGGAGCGATCATTACTCCACCTCCACAACGCCGATCGGATTGTCGGCAATCGATTATTCTTGTGACGATCATGTGCTCGCCGAGCCATCGGTCATGTCGACAGGATCTTCTGTTGCAAGCATCCCGTGAGCTGGTAGTCGGTACGCTAACATCTTCATTGGCTGGCTACGGTAAAATGGAAATCTCCGTGTCATCGGAAGTCCACCAAAGGTCTGCTTGGCGGCTCGCCACACTTTCTCCGATGTGCTCGTGCGCAGTGCTTCACCCTGCTATAACTTTGCCCACGACCCTACCGATGGATGCGGTGCATTTTGGTATGGAGGCCTGATTTGTTCGCAACGGTCGCTGGTTTATGTTTTGGTGGCTTACGACCCTGCATTGCGGAGAATACACAATCCGGAAGCTACCTAGGTAGTCTAAACGTAAACTTGCGGAACGCACCACGAACAACGTCTCGTAACGGAGGCACCGACATTGTGCCTGGGATCGACAAATTGGGCCAGGAGTTTACAGCCTATCGCAACCAACCCAAAGCAGGCGTAGCACAATACATACCTAGCATTGCAGAGACTATCTTCACGAAGGCGCATCTAAAGCGGCAGACGGCCGTCCATGGCCTCTGCAGAATGAAGCCGCACATGCGCCGAACCAAGCACGCGACCTGTTTTACCTTCACATGTCAAAGTGAAAGTGAAAGTGACTGGTTTGAGAGAACAGACTTGCTCATGCATTCGGAAGACCACTTTGCTATGTGTGAAAGACGGAGCGAAAGTCAACTCAAACACAGTAACGATTCAAGACGAGGTCACCACACCATCTTTTGAGATGGTTATTCGTCGTGAACCACCCATATCTGTCTTTCAGGCGACCCGTTCCACTCTTTCAAGATCTAGTCGAATTGTCTAGATCCACAGCAGGGCCTGTAGTTGACCGACTCCACTCACTTACGCCATCTCCTGTATGTGTTTCCAGAAAACCAGGTCTATGATCCTCACTCGCAAGTGAATTACTCAGGTATTATCGACTCCCGACAGCCCCGCGTCACTTGATGCCTGTATGCCTGACGCTTGTTCGCAACGCCACACCCGGACACAGCACTGACAAAGATCACCAGGGCAGCTACCGCACCCTGATTATACCCGTAACTGCGCCACTAGATAGCGTTTCGACAGGAAGACTACATCCGATTGGCGAAGCCAGGACTAGGTCGACCGAGAAAACCGCTAGAACAATGCGGTTTGTTTCGAGTATTAACGTCTATGCACGTTCATTTGCAATTTTCATGCATCCAGTTGCCCTGGTGTCGTTATGAAATCCAAGGTATCGCTCGAGCTTTGCGGCGCGCAAGGTGGCGTATCCGACGAAGTTTCGCCTGGTCCCATCTTCGCCACTGAAAACGTACGAATCGCGGTGCTCGGCATCTTGTTCACCATGACCTCGTTCTCGTCCGTCTTGAAAGCCCTCAAACTCATGGAAGCTATTCCTGGCAGCCCCATCTTACTTAGCTCCACCAGTTGGTTGAGTGCCACAAACTCCAGCTCTAATTTTACAGCATAAGCAAAGCTGAAGACGATAAATTTGAGCTGCAGATAACCTGCAAAGTCCATAAAGACGATGGCGACATCGGAGGCAATGGCGACGAACTGAACGAGTAAAAGAAGACACATAACGCTCCGTGTCTTGCTTGACTGCGTGAATCGGCCCTGGAGGTATTGGTATGCTGCGCGTAGGTAGAGACAGGAAAGAATGATGTCCTGGACAGCAAAGGTCACGACTTGGACCTTCTCGACGCGGTCGTGAACATGCTTCCATGCGCGTGTGTCTAGAATATACAATCAGCATAGCTTACCATCTCCGTTCCAGAGGGATCACTTACCAGTTGGACGTCCTGCATATTGCGTCGTCCTCATGCCTGATAGCACTGTGATCATGACTGTGTGCCACACACAACCATTGAAGATGATCATACCAAGCACAACTCGTCGTGCTCTATGGCTTTCCAAGATTATGGTGAGTCGACTATAGAGTACCATCGAGAACCCACTAATCATGCCAACCCATCCAAGCTGTTGCATCGTGAAGCCGACCTGCCACGGACACCTCGGTGCATAGAATTGGATGAAGTTGCCGACTTGACGTATGGTCAGACCCCAGGTAGCGATCAAGATAGAATAAAAGTAGATTCCAGAACGCTTCTTCATGGTGGTGAGAAGACGGATGGTAAGAGTCAAAGTAGACCAAATCGCCACGGCACCGAACGCGATGAAGAGGCTGTGAAGTTGTGAGCATATAGACAGTGTCATGCAAGTGGAAACGTACTGTGTGATGTCCACGCCGTTGATCCGGAAGAAAGAGGTCGGTGCACTCATACTGGAGATGACAGTACTTTGAGCTATCCAGGGGACCTTTTAGCCTATAATATCTGGGTCTTAGAGAATGCGACGTAGGTATTTGCGTGGTTGTACCAGTTGTTGGTTGTGGCCCACGCAGAACATATAGAAGCTCGTCGACATTCTGCCGCAGAACAATTACCTTGTTTTTCCTCTAGCATCCAAGCTGCGAGCATTGCTACTATTCCGGTCGCTTGTTGTCGCATATGGAAGGTCAGCTCGGTATTGTAGAAAAAACTCCATGGTCATTGGAAGTTGGGTGTTCCTGCGGAGTAGAGGCTGCCATATCTGGATATGTTCGTGGAAAGGTCTAAAGATAGCCACAGCTCATGGTGAAGCGTGATACACATCTACCGAGGCGGCATACTGATAACAGTAAGCGTGAATATTGCGCAAAGGAAAGATCACCTCGATTGGCTCACGGGATTGTATCTGCTCTTTAATGCGAACACGCCTAAGCTCAACGGAGGGTAGAGTGGAAGGTTTACGAAAGTGGGGCTGCTGACATGCTTCGGCGGTGGTTACTCATCAACCCAGCCCCGCCTGTCATTCCCACTATAGGACCATCGTGGCTTCCCGTACACCAAATATATACTGAAGGATCTCGTGTTAGTTGATGAGCTCGATGCGATGGCGCTGGGTCGGGAAACAATGCACGGGAGGCGCGAATGACAAGGATTGGCCGCCGACGTTCAAGGCCGGCGGGAAAGCTGCGTCTAAGTCGGCGCGCGCGACAACATAGATGGGTAAATGCCTGGAACTCTGACTGCTACTTCGGTCTTCTTTCACGCTTCTTATCTACTGTTTACGGTGGTGAGCCTAATGATTGTCATAAAGTCAGATATTATCAAGGTCCATGTATCTTTTGATATTGATGACCTTGTGTACATATGGTGCCAATACCCGGAATCTTTACTACCGAATCAGGCCGTTCATCGTAATTTACTCCCTGCACAGTCATTCACTGGATTCTTCCATGCATTCGTCTGTAAAGCCCAAGGCCACATACTGTGAAACCACCTAAATAAATCTTCCGCTACCCTAAGGCCATCCACAAGTCTTCTTGCACGGCTTTCCATCAGCATGAACGCTGAGGCAGATGCGCTGGCACGAGGAGCCGTGGCAAGTCTAGTAGGTATCGATACGAATTAGTAACTTCTTCTACTCTGAGCTTGGTAGTCATGGAGCTACACACCTTGGTGCAGTCGATGAAAGCTTTAGTGCACTTTTGGCATGAGCTACTGACGACCCGAGTGTGAACGTCCTGATTTTCTTTAGCCCTGGGGTAAAGCAGCGATAGTGGGTGCGCGAGCGACGCGGGTGGAGGACTTGCATTCGCGAGAGAAGACTCGATGGTGCATGTAGAAGCGGGGGCAACATCACAGGGAACGACACTGCTCATTGAAATGGTGGAGAGGGCTGCGAGGAGGATGATGGAGGTGAAAGACTTCATCTTGTTGCAATGTCGTAGTTGAGTGACAAGGTTGAGTATGTGGTTGTTGGGGTTTCTGGAGGCTTTGTCGAATAGAAGTTTTGTCTGACCAGAGTAATTGCTATACTTATACGACGATGAGAGAGGGAATGTCACAAGGTCTGAGCGCTTCCATCGTCACTTTTCCTCGAAGGGCTCACGCCAAGGCCCGCAGGCTACCACAGTGAGAGATTGCTACGCAAGTGGAACTCGCCTGCATATCGATATAGACTTAAAGGTCGGGTGAAGGCGTTTCGATCCGCAACCACGCTTAGCTTATATGTCCTCCCACTCGCTCTCTTGCTAATATATATACACCATCACTGCAATATCACGATCAATTCTTCTACATTCAATTTGAACAACCAGATTCAGCCGAACACCAATTTTTTCTCGTCAGAAATGAAGTCCTTCACCACCCTGCTTACCCTTACGGCCCTCTTCGCCATCGCTCTCAGCGCTTCGCTTCCCTCAGCCTCTGCCCGCCACCGCGGCCCCCTCAAGTCCAAGCCATCCAACCATCTCAGGTCCATGGTCGAACGTCTCGTCGCCGACGGAACATTTCCCGATGATGCAAACACCCGACTCTTCTCAGAGTATCCCTGTGCCGACGACGACGACTTCGACGAAGGCGACAATTGGAAGGTTTGCTAGACTGTCTTCCATCGGAGAGATGGAAAGACAGAACAACACGAGTTGAGGATAACTGGATATTCGTGGTTCGACGACGTTGCTGTGTGGAACTTCGCATAATTGGGTACCTGGGATAACTTTCTGGATAGACAGGTAGTACGTACGGGCTTCTCGCGATATGCTGTATTGCCGATCTGGCTACGAGATTTCCGTGGTGCTGAAATGGCCGTACCTTTACAATAATGGAACCATCACTTATATCTTCAAAATCTGCCCAACATGTGTTTTTACATGATCTTTGTTCATTTCTCGTCTTGCATGGATACAGATGTCGTTCATCGCCCACTCCTCTCATCTAGCTCAAAGTCCCCCTCCTCCTCAATAGTCGGCAGCACCTGATACCTTCTCTTCTTCCCACCCATCCTCTTCAAGCACCGATCCGTATGCAACAAATGACCCCTCTTCTGCCTTACAAATCCCGCAAAACACGCCGCACTCGATGCTATCGCGCCTGCGCTGATATAAATCGGAATAGTAAAGTCCTGCGGCCGCCACCACACCATTGTCGTCGCGAAAGAGAGGAGCTCAAAGACGTTTTGCAGTGACATCTCAATAGCGGAAAAGGAGCCGCGAGACGCAGGCGGCGCATCTTCCTGCACGAGATACTGGACGCTGAGATCGAAACCCCAGAGACCGAGGCGGGAAAGACAGACGCCCAAGACAAGCGCGGCGCCAGCCAACATCGGTGCCGTACTCGTAGGGAAGACGTGGAACAAGCCTATGGCTAGGGCAATGGCGAGGAGTTGTTCGTTGATAAACCAGAGACCTGCTCGTACAGCGCCGATCTTATTCATCAGCCACGGCGCGGCGACGGTGGCGCTAAGTTCGAGGATAACGGACACGAGTCGCATAATGGAGACGTGGGTGCTCGTGAAGCCGAGGGTGAGCAAGTAAGTCGTCATTTGCGATGCAAAGCTCAGGACAGTGAGATAGAGGAGGGAAAGCGAGAAGGAGGCGAGGAAGGCGGGGTTTTCGATATATGCGCGGTAGGGTTGCAGGTGTGAGGTTATATTGGCGAGAAGAGTGGAACGTCGGCTAGGCGGGTTTGACACGGTATCCCCGTGGGAAGAGTCTTGCGGTTGTGAATCCGTGGCAACATTCGTTTCAGCCTGCGCGACTCCTTTGCCAACACCAAGTTCCGGCACCGCGGCGTACACATTCGCAATGGCAAAGTACTCCACTAGTACACTGATTGCATTCTGCGCGAATACAACCCAGATGGCGATTTTGGTCGAGTAGCCGTCCACGAGTCCGATGCCCACAGGCGCAATGAGCTTGCACACCAAATCAATTCTGCGCATGACGCTATTCAGCTCTTGACGATCTGCACCCAGGCTCTCAGAAACCACGACTATCCAGTCTCTCTCCACAGAAACCGTGTTGGCAACAAAAGCCAATTTCTCGACACATGCCAGAGCCGCGCTGACGGCAAACAAGCCATACGATATTCCACTGACATTCTTCTTCTTCTCTTGCCCACCACCACCTAGACCCAACATAGCCACCAAAACTGCACAACTCGCCGCGACAGAAAGCCTTTGCCATAGAATACTCTGCCTCACGACATACAATCTATCCCTCGCATCGACCTGCCCGCCTATCCACGACCCCAGGAGCGCAGCGGCAAGCGAGCGAAAAAGCGCATAGCAACTTGCGAAGAAGAGCGTTCCGGGGAAGATTTTCGCAAGGAAGATGACAGCGCCAAATTCAAAAGTGCGCGCATTCCACGTAGACAGTATGTGTGAGGTGTAGAGTTTGTAGAGGAGGGGGCGGGGTGATTGTCGTCTTGGTGAGGGCGTTGCAGATGGGGCGGGGTAGGAGCGCGAGGAGGAGGTGGTGCTGCTGCTGCTGCTTGTCGAGCTCGTCGATGAGCGTGGTGACGAAACCGCCATTGTTGTCGCAAAAAAACTTGTATAGTTTGTTTACGCGGAAAGCAAAAGCAAAGCGCCTCAAAGGCGAGGAACAGACGAAGAGACTACATATTTGCAAGGTTCAGATGGGAAATACCGTGATGGTCATGAGACGGCTTGGAGAGCGGACATCTGGGCCTTCCGAGTCGCCTCATGGGTTGCGACGCACGTGTGGACCCTGTCGATCGTTTATCTGGATTAGGCCGGGCTGGGTTAGCGTCGCGAATGTTCGTGAGAAACAGGATTGGAGTAAGTCCGAGTGCATATTAACGACAAGCGCGAAAGAGAACTTTAGGCAACAGCTTTTGGGGCTGGAGGTCCTACTGTAAGTCGCTATGAAGGAACAGAAATGTTGCAGGGTGCCGTGAGTCTAAAGCGGGTTTGGGACCGATGATAGGAAGATACTACTTAAGCAGGGATGGTTTTGACACGGAATTTGCTTGCTTTATCGTCCTTACTCCACGGTGTTAGTTGTATGGATCACTGATAGTAGTTATTGTGTACTTCAGCATGTGTGCTGGATCTTTGTAGTTCAGATTGTCGAATTGCAATATATATAGGCCCAGCCCGCACTATCACATACTACTACGGATCTGCGAGTCTCAAATCTGATCTTTCGTCATCAGGTACGAAAATGGCACTTTGCTATATCCCGGATGGCAGTGTTTTTTCATATCCCGTAAGTGTCTAGGATTGGTGGTTGTCTTCGTCACTTCTACCATTCCTAACCAACCTCATCGTCCTCGGTTTGATCATTACAATCATCGCACTCGCACTTGAAGTGTTTCGGTCGGACGGCACTAATGTGGACAAAGTCAGCTTAAGGCTTAGAAGTGCGATTGCAGAAACTTACGAGTCAAACACCCCGTGGTCGTCAATGTTGTGCAAAAGATAGCGCATGACCTCCTTTGCATTTCGCTAAAACGGAAAGAATTGTTTGCCGCTGATGCTACAGCCAGGATGGATATCCCCATGTTGGTAATGCCTGTCGAGAGGGTGCAATTCGAGAACGTCGAAGCAGTTCCTGGTTTCCCAACAGCCATGGTCTATCTTACAGTCGTTTTCGATCAGATGGGAGACGGACTCCCATGCTTCGTCAGTAGTATCGTGAGAATCCTCAGCTTGCACGACTTGCCCAAAGCCATTGATCCAGCAATCAGGTACGACTGACCTTTCTTCTTTCAAGTAGAAGGACTTCAAGAGCTTCGCATCAACATCCTCACCACCTTGACGAAGTCCCAACTTATGCAAAGCAGTAGTCTGATAATGGGTGAGTACCGGTGGCAGCTGTAAGAACAGTATCTACTGTCAATGATGAAGGTGTGGTTAGAGTAGAAGGCAGAAGCTGCATCGCGATACAATGTCCGACACGATGTAAAGAGGTTTACTGGAAGCTGTAACTTCGGACATAAACGGAAACCATGTATATCGATGCGATATGGCCGGGACTCGGTACTGTTGCAGCTTATGCGCATTGGCGTGGGGTACTCGACCAAGTAGCTTATGATTTGGTTGCGGATTTCCGCTGGCAGGTCGTGAATAATGAATGGTTTATTCGCGTCGATGGGCTTCGAGTCGCCGCGAGCGAGGGTCGAAATGGTCTTGTGAGTGGCCATCATAGTGGTGGAGGTCGGTTCGGTTGTCATACTCAGCGGTCGTATGGAAGTTGATCGAGGCGGTGGTGCTAATTATACTGGAAGGTCAGCCAGGCAACAAGATCATGGGCGGGATCGGCTTGGGTCTGCGAAGTAAACTCTCTGCCATATGTTGAATACTCGTTCTTTTAAAGTAAAACGTTAGTGTAAGATAGTAAAAGAGGTGAATCCTTGAGCTTCTGAAGCTGTTCGCTCTAGCGTTGTATCTAGTCATAGTCACAACAGGGACCAACACGGCCGATGGGTGTTGAAAATACTAAACTGAGATAATGTTGTAGCTGCGTAACAGGTAGTTTTTGTAACCTTCCTGTTTTCCTTTGTTCTTTGGTACAAGGTTTGACTGTATAGTTGCTTGTCATAATCAACAATGGGCGGGTATAGATACACGTCGACGACAGGTCGCAATCTTTGAGACACTCTGGTTCCGTACGGAGTGCCTAGTTTACGATCTAGCTTGACGACTTTGTCAGTGATTCTTCCTACGTAGGCATGGATGTGGGGTGATGCCGAAGGAGCCATATTGTGAGCGTGTCTAGCGCGAACCCTGGATCTCGGGATGACGCGCTACGTGAGACGTCGCATCCTCCACCACGCTCCCTTGACTGGTCTTCACAGGATGTGAATGATGCCACCCAATTTGGTCGTACATGAACAACTTTATATCTCGTTCTCGTGTCCGATGAAGATGCCCGGCTATACGGCACGCGGTCAATGGCTTGGCCGAGACGTGTTCGTGCTTCCGCCTACATGACGCGTAACCTTGTTGAACATACGTTCATCCGTTCATTCCTCGTACAAAACGAATGAGGCGCTCTCTACAACGCGCTAGGCGAGGCACGTTATTCCAGTCAACCTTAAAAGTCTCGCACGACTGACAATCGCAGCATGGCTCGTTCTACCCCTCGGCAGACACCCCGCTCGCTTTCAACGCACGCCCCTCCTCTTACATAGCCCGAACCACGAAGCTCAATCAGCCAAGTCGCAAAGAAGCAACACAGATGACGGAGACAAGCAGGAGAGAAGCAAGTTTGCGCGGAGTGTGCTTGAAGGAAGCACGGTAGCTTTAATATCACTCTTCGGGCTAGGCCTCGGCGGCTATGCCTACAGCCTATTTTACAAAAGAACTGTTGCGAAGAAGATTGAGAATGCCTTTGCGACAGGATATAGCTCGCAAGAGCGTGTTGTGTTGGGTCGCATCTCGTACGGCACGGAGCCCGAAAAGATTCAAGAGATTGTAGAGAGGGAATACTGGGTTCCACGGGCGGAACAAGAAGACATCGATAATGTCGTCAGCGGAAAAGCTAGGGGAAGATACTACCTGGTCATCGGCGAGCGAGGTACCGGCAAGCGAGCGCTGCTGCTCGAGGCCATGCGGAAGGTCAACGGCGACGGCATTGCTATGCTGGAAGCCCACAACGATCTCGAGGTCTTTCGAACCCGGCTCGGCAAGGCAATCGACTACGAATTTCATGAAGACTACATCGGTGGACTGTTCAGTATCCGCGGACCAAGAGACAGCTCGCCTCTACTAGACATTGAGAGGGCACTCAATCAGATGGAAAAGGTAGCCTTGTCGCTGAGGAAACGACGCGGCAAACCTCTCCTCATGATCATCAACAACATACACTTGTTCAAAGACGATGAAGCCGGAAAACATCTTCTGGAGATACTCCAGCAGCGCGCCGAAATATGGGCGGGCAACGAACTTGTTACAACCGTATTCACCTCTGACGAATTCTGGACCCTAGAGCGCCTGACACCACACGCAACTAACATGAACGTCATCAGCGTCAGAGACGTGCGGAAGAACGTCGTTACAACAGCACTAAAACAGTACCGAGCCCGCTACCACAACGAAGACGTCCCGCAAAGTGTCCTAGACCAAGTCTTCGCCAAGGTCGGTGGCCGCCTCATCTTCCTAAACCAAGTCGCCAAGTCAAGAGATATGCTTGAAACCTGCAAGCAAATCAATCGGAGAGAGAAGATGTGGTTTCTGAACAATTGTTGGATCCTGGGTGACTCCATGGATGACGACGTCGAGGAACAACAAAAGTATTGCGCCGCCGCCATCGTTCTAGCCCGCGCCCTCGTCCTCCGCGAACAAGACACATCGACATCTGATCCAGATCAATTCTGCCTTCCTCAGATCCCGCTACACGAGGCTCGTCAAATCATCACGCGCGCGGATTTCGTGCACCCCTTTGACCATATCAATGTTATTCATATCGATGCGCATGGTATGGTGAGAGCGGATTCCGTACCCATGCAGAATGCCTTCAGGGAAGTCGTTCAACAGCAGGGCTTTGAGGAACATTTGAAAGCGACGCTGAATAGGCTGGATGAGTTGGAGAGTCTGGCGAGGACGAGGGAGGTTGCAATGAGGGATCCGCCGGATAGGAGTGGGGGGATTGTGCCGGTGCAGACGTATTGTGCTAAGCTCTAAGAGTGGAGGGCATGTGTTTAGTAGAAGTTAGAGCGCAGAAACAAACAGCACTTTAGACAAGATGATCGCAGGCGACCTACTTTGAGTATCCGAAGTTGAAGCTCCCTTCGCACAGTTTGCTCTCTACCACCAGTTAGTGAACTCCTTTCAACTACGGTTCAACGGCGATGCACTAGCGCCACACCAAATGAACACGAGGCTATCACGACCCTTTCTATCTAAGGAGGCGTGACTTTGGTAACGAACATGTGTGCCTACTCATTCACCCGATTGAAAGACATTGTCTCTTCCTTGTGACCCGCTGAGCCGAATCATGATTCATGAGTCTCAATTGCTGCTAGTCTTTCACTGTCTTAGGGATGTACAGACATAAGCCACAGTTGGTAGAACATTCATCGCCTACTTCTGCGTTCTCAACCACGATCAAGTGCTCAACCACGGTTACGCGCACATCCATACCATGTCTTAGACCAGTGCCACACCGGCTGTATCGAGGAAACCATCGAGATGGAAAAGCTTGCTGCGACCCGAGCGGTGGTCTCTGAGGTCTCTAAAACCAACAGAAACCAAGGTTTCGTCAAACAACAAAGGCGCTCGGTCATCGGTGACGGGGGTGAGAAGAATGCTAGGTTCACGTTTCGGGGCGACGCCGAGGGCTTCGATTACCTCGTTGTCCTTGCCACTAGCTCATGCATGTGATCAAGAAGCAGCCAAAGAGACGAAGGTAGCTCTAACAACATCAAACGTATTCTCAAGACGATTAACATCGTAATTCAGCGCGTCTTCCGCACAAGATCGAAATCCTCATGGCGATTGCGACTTCCGACTGCCCCATCTAGTTTCCAGAGGGAGTCGCAGTACAGGGGCTGAGGTTGGAGAAGACGCTTATAGCAATGACGGCAAACCATCAGGGAATAAGTATGACCGTCGACACTTTAAAGATATTCGGGGTATATCTCGCACCGCTCTAGAACGCTTGGTACTCCATCTGATCGATCCGAAAGAAGAACTTCCCTTTAGCAGCTGTCGCGTCATGCAACGAAAAGAGGGATCTTTCCACCATGCAGTGTTCTTGATGATCGAGGACGGTCACCAAGTCACGCAAGAGTACATTCTCAAAATTCCTGCACATGGCACACGAGGCGAATGGCAGATCAACGATAACGTAGCTCTGAAGAGTGAGGCTGAGCTGATGCAACACATCTGGCATCACACAAACTGCCCAGTGCCAGAGGTTATCGCATATGATGGGAGTCTCGAGAATGCGATAGGCGCACCATACATTCTCATGAGGAAAATGGACGGCATTTCTGCAATGGACATGTGGATCGGTCAGCCCTACAAGACGACGATCAGCACAAAAGTACACCTAAATGCCGACGATCCTTTACCGGAGTTGGAACAGAAGCGCATTACGTTCCTGCGCTCTCTTGCGCGAGCTATGAGCGAACTTGCGCCGCTGGAGTTTGAGTATACTGGTATGCCTTCCTTCTCTGACCCGAAAGATAAGCAACCAAGCTACATTGGTCCATTTTGGCGATGGCATACAAAGACTGTCATGGACAAGTTTGCATCTGAAGGGTCATTCGATACCAGCGAAGCCTTCTTCACCGCTGGCATAGATAGGGTGAATAGTGCGGAGCGCAGCTCATCATCTGGTACCCACGACGTGGCGAAGATTGGTGTTTGGATAATGATGAGAATGGTGATGTCGTCGGCTCCCTTTGCAACAACAGAGTCATCGCATAGTAAGCAAATCCAAAGCGAAGACGTTAGCAACGGCGTACCAATACGCGAAACATTTGTCCTTCGGCACGACGATCTCGATCTCCAAAACATCCTGGTAGACGAAGATGGCAACGTTACTGGTATAATCGACTGGGACGGGTGCGCAGCAGTGCCACACTGCCTTGGTTATGCTTCGATGCCCACGTTTCTCCGACGCGACTGGCTCCCAAACTATGATATATCACGGCTGCCACATCTGTCCTGGTCGCTGGATCGCTACCGAGAATTGTACGCCCAAGCTATGGAAGAAGTTTGCAAGTCTTCGGACGCGAAGTACACGCGCAAGTCGCCCATGTATCAACTGGTATCAGCTGCACTGGATAAGGATGCTGAGTGGATCGATGTCGTTGAGGCGCTGCTGCACGATATGTCAGAATTTAGACGTGTTGATGCGCATGCGTTTTGCCGGAGGCTGGGGCATGGATGGCCGGCTGCAGAAGAGGCGTTAAAGGCAAAGATCACAAAGTGGTTGAAGCCTCAGTGAAAGCAGCGGTGTAGGTGACATCATGAATACCTAGGTAACGGAGGCTGGGGAAGTGGTATGCTTCTTCTCCTTGGACTGACAGCGGTCGTCGCATTATCACGCGTATCCTGATAATTCATAGGTAATGATACGCGTGCGATCTCGATAGCCAACTAAGAATACGATGGTTCGGTGTGACTGTGCAGGGTGTTCTGTGGTTTGAGTCACGCTAAGAGTGGTTGCCGAGGAGCTTGTTTACGCACTGACTCGCCAGCTTATCAGTGCTGCACGTCATTCGTACCGGGCTGTCAGTTCTTCTCCCAAGATTCATTCTTGCGCACTAACTTCAACACGCGCATCGTCAGATCTTGACATAATCGTCCCTCACATCGGATGAATACCATCAAGATGCAATGTTCGTATCACCCCGCAACGGCCAACAGCAATCGATAAACTATTTGTGCGCCGCGCTTAGGCCAAGTCGCGTCTCTGTGCGACCAAGACGGATCGCGGCTGTTCAGCTTCTCAGCCCTATCTCACGCGAACCTCTTCTCGTAAAGCTTACCTGACGGATCGATCTAAACCACCTCACAAGACACGTACGAATGCGTTAACGCATGTACAACGTTCTCTTGCAGACTAAGAACTACCACACCTGCAGATGCCGAGAGCTAATCGTGGACCATTGACCGGCTGTAGTGTCGCCGGGGTAGCGTTATGAGTATAGCACTACTCCAAGAGCATGAGCCCAGCTCGTGATGTAGCTCTTAGGTTGTCTACCTGGTATCGGCTCGGTATTGATTGGGATCGACTACCAATGGGAACGTGCTCAACAACATTGGCGACCACAATTCTAGATTTGCGATTCGGAGATGGCGGTGCGGGAAAAGCAACGTGCCTGCCACCGTCCCAGCACACGAGTATAAAACAAACACACCATGGACATCTTCGGACACGAGCACCGCCCACCCACAGTCGCTATCGTCTTCATCTCCTTGCACCTACAGTGCATATTAATAAGTTAATTCATAATGGTTTCTCACTCAAAGGTAGCGGCCACGCTTCTGCCATTCTTCTTCTCAGTCACATTCGCTCAGGACCAAGGAGGAGCATTCACTCCGAACCAAGGATCATGGGGTCCAGTCATCAACTTTCCCATCATTCCGGTTGCGGCCTACATCGTCCCGGAATGGCCATCTCCCACCCGTATGATGGTATACTCTGCGTTCTCGCCGAACTCATTCGGAGGTGAACGAGGTATCACTCAGTTCGCCGAATACAATCTGGTATCTGGTCAAATGTCCACTCGCCAGGTTTCCGAAACCAACCACGACATGTTCTGTCCTGGAATGAGTCAGCTAGGCGATGGAAGACTGATCATCACCGGAGGAAGCAACGCTGAGAAGACGACTATATACCAGCCGGAAACCAACACGTTTGTCCCCGGACCGGATATGAAGGTACCTCGCGGATACCAGAGCAGTGCTGTCCTGTCTAATGGAAAGGTCTTCACAATTGGTGGATCGTGGAGTGGCCCACGAGGTGGAAAGCCAGGAGAGATTTATGACCCGGCATCAAATTCGTGGACGCTTCTACCTGGCGCTGCTGTGGAGCCGATGTTGACATATGACCACGAGGGCATCTTTCGCGAGGATAACCACGCCTGGCTCTTCCCTTGGCGCAATGGCACCGTCTTCCAGGCCGGGCCCAGCAAGGCGATGAACTGGTACTACACCGATGGCGAAGGTGGTGTCAGCCCAGCAGGTATCCGTGACGATGTCAACGATGCCATGTGTGGTGTTCACGTCATGTACGATGTTGGCAAAATCTTCACTGCAGGCGGAGCGCAGTACTACGATCGTGCGCCCGGACTCGCTGTCGCGCATTTGATGGAGATCAACAATGTCGGCGCCCCCGTAACCGCCGAAAGGATCCCCGACATGCACCAGCAACGCGCCTTTGCTAATGTCGTTGTCCTTCCTGATGGCAAGATCTTGGTTACTGGTGGACAGCGCTGGGCTCAAGGCTTCACCGACATCGATCCCGTCTTCACTGCCGAGATGTTCGACCCTAATACCAAGACATTTACTGAGCTGGCTGCTGAAGCCATTCCCCGGAACTACCACTCTGTTTCCATCTTGCTACCTGACGGCACAGTCTTCAGCGGAGGAGGAGGTCTCTGCTGGGACGATGGAACTGGAGGACCGTCCTACCACTGCCGCGACACGGTCGATCATCCCAACGGCCAGATCTTCACACCGCCATACCTTCTCACCGGCGCTCCTCGTCCAATCATTCAGGATGTTGCATCGAGCATCGTCACGCACGGTGGCGAGTTGAGAGTCAAGATGCAAGGTTCAGCTGACGGCGTGACGTTCTCTTTCATCAGAATAGGAAGCGTTACACACAACGTGAACAGTGATCAAAGGCGCATTCCGCTCCAGCCAAGGATCGAAGGGGAAGAAGTCGTCTTGCCCATCATGAACGACTCCGGTGTCGTGCTACCGGGAGCGTGGTACCTGTTTGCTGTCAGCGCGGAGGGTGTGCCCAGTGTAGCCAGGACTGTGTGGGTAAAGCAGGCATAGGTTGATGAAATGCTTGACGATAATGGCCACAGGTTTTGCTTCCAGGAGTAATCAGGTTCGGGTTAGATGGTGGTTGCAATGATGAAAAATTTCGCAGGCCAACAACTTTTTGGATGCCTGTACATATTTTGCTTCATATAGATAGACGTTATTAGGGTAATGAG